CCACCAGCACCACGGACGTTCGCTCATTCATGGGGTTGGCGGGCTAATATCAACGCTTCATCACCGGATACTCAAGGATCGCTGCGCCATTGATGAGACTACAATCGCCAAAGGTGCCATTCGTATTCGATGACGACGCGCGCCGGTCATTCCAAGCACTTAAGACGGTCATGCTCATGGCAGTCGTCCTTAGCATCTACGACCCCACCTTGCTAACGAGAGTCACGACTGATGCTTCCGACTATGGCATTGGGGCAGTCTTGGAACAACACGACGACGACGATTGGCACCCCGTGGAGTATTTCAGCCACAAGTGCCTCCCATCAACTCACTTGATGATGCAAGGAAGAAGGAGTTACTCGCGTTCGTGATGGCTCTCAAGCGCTGGCGACACTTCCTCCTTGGGCGTCGTAGGTTCACATGGGTCACTGACAACCCGTTGACCTACTACAAGACGCAGGATATGGTGAGCAGCACGATTGGGCGATGGATGTAGTTCGTCGACCAATTTGACTTCACACCGAAACATCACGCCGGCCTCTCCCATCGTGCAGCAGATGCACTCTTATAAAGACCCGATCTTTGCGCTATGACACATCATGCCTTCGCGTTCGACGAGAACTCCAACGACACTTCATCCGGGGCTATGAGTCCAATCCGGATTTCGTTACGCTCTACGCGCAACTATCTTCGGATCACCCGCAGGCCAGCCACTATTGCATCGTCAACGGGTACTTGCTCCTCCACTCGCTAGGCAAGGACTTATTGCGTGTCCCACGAGACCGTCATCTTCGGACTCGCCTTCTCGGCGACTCACGACTCGCTGTCCATTTCGGAGTCAGTCGGGCTATTGCACGACTTCGACAACGATTCTGGTGGCCCGACCTCATTACTGATGTCACGCGGTATGGCGACTCTTGTGAAGTTTGTCAACGAAGCAAGCCCCGCAACTGCAATCCCTACGGCGAGTTGCGCACGTTGCCTATCCCATGGGAACCCGGCCTCTCCATTGCCGTGGACTTCATCGACCTGTTTCCCCACGACCGGTTCGGGCATAACGACATCCTCACGGTCGTCGACCGACTGAGTAATTACGATCGATTTTTACCTTGCAAGTACTACGCCACGACGCCCGAACTTGCGCGCCTTTTGCACACCGGCTGGATTTGCAGCCACGGTGTACCGGAAGACATAGTTAGAGACAGTGACACTCGTTTCATGTCGGCATTCTGGACTTCTCTCATGCAGAAATCCGGCACCAAGATGAAACCAAGTTTGGCTCGGCATCCACAAATGGACGGGCAATTGGAGCGAGCACATCAAACCACTCAAATGATGCTTCGTACGCTTATCCGTCTGGATCAGAAGGATTGGGTTGACCGCCTCCCCGACATCGAGTTCGCCTACAACACTTTATTGCATCCGGCGATTGGCGTGACTCCATTCGAGTTGCACCACGGTGGCCGGGAAGGCTGTATCTTCGCTGATGTTCTCCTTCCACAAACAGCCGACATTGACGCCGCTTGCTCTCCCGCTTCCGTTCGGAAGTACCAGTAATTGCTGGCTCAAGCCCCGCGCGAACATGCAAAAGGCTCAAGGTCGCATGTAGCAGCAAGCAAACAGGCGTCGCGTGCCATGTCCCATCCGCGCGGTGATCTGGTCTGGGTCTCTGCAGAAGAGTTTGCGCTCGAACAAGATGTTTCACTCAAACTCCTCGCCAAGTGGTTTGGACCATGGACCGTCCTTTCAGCCGCAGGGGACGAGCCCGATGGCCCATCCTTTGTGATCGACATCCCTCCGCATCTGCCGGTCCATCCAGTCTGTCACGCCTCGAAGCTGGCGACATACACACCAGCTAAGAGCGACGATTTCTCAGGCCGACGATCGCAAGACCCTCCGTCTATGGATGGTCATCAGGAAGTTGACCGCGTCATCACGGATCGCAAGTACGGCAGCAAACCTCGACAGTACAAAGTTACCTTCAAAGCATGTGATCCTGACGACACTATGGATTTCAGGAGCAGATTTGAAAGCATCTGCACCGCTGATCTACGCTCACTACGAAGGACAAAGGTTAGCTAAAGAATCTTCACGACCTGTCCCTCTCACCCGGACTTTGGTTCCTCCGTCAGACAGGCAGCTTCGCCCTCACAGGTAAGCTCGGTCTTTCAAGGAGGGGGGGGTGTGGCCCACTACGCAGCCACACGGGCCTGCAAGGCCTGACCAGACAGAAAATCAGGGCCTTCCAGGTAGGCCCTGTGTCGTTTCAGCCTAAAAAGGGACCTCCAGGCCCTGAGTCTTTTCAGCCTGAAACGGGGGGCCATTTTCAGGCCCTCGTAAGATCGACCTGCCCTGAAACTTAGGCACCAGACCAGGGTTTTAGCGCAGGCCATTTTGGCCCTGTTTTCAAGACAACCTTTGTTTGAATTTCAACGCCAGGGTCTGGCACGTTTTGGCATTGGCAAGAGCAGCCTCCTGGACGGGCCAGCACTATATAGGACCTGTCTCTTATACACATCTAGATGTGTATAAGAGACAGGCACTATATAGGACTGGCCCGCCCTGCCGACTGCAGGTAGTTCATAGGGACTTCCCAGGCACTTCACGTGCAGTTCAGGAGGCAGGTGGTGGTCTTCAGGTTTCGGCAGCAGCACTCTGGAGGAGCGCTGCAGTAGTAGTGGCGTTAGCAGTATTCTTCAGCGCTGGGCGCTAGTAGGAGCTAGAGTAGTACTGGAGAGAGAGAGAGATTGGGCGGAAGCCAGGGAGACTTGCCTGTGGCGCCATATCTCCAGCTTCGTCTTCGATGTACCTGCAACAAGGCGCCACCTTGACAGGTTAGTACCGGACTGAGAGAGAGAGAGAGAGGGAGCATATCTCCCTCACCCTCTCGCTACCTGCCTTCTCGGTATCTGCACTATGAGAGAGAGAGAGAGAGAGAGAGAGAGAGAGAGAGAGAGAGAGAGAGAGAGAGAGATTGGTGACTTTGGGACTTGACGACATTTGGATCCAGACTCCACATTGGGATTGAGACATTTGACGAGGGACTATTTGGGACCTGTGCCGAGGACTTGGTGCTGACGACATTCCCATCTCCCCCCTCTTCTTCGTCTGCTCCCCTCCTCTTCCTCTGTGTATGGTCTGGACCTGGCGCATTCTTCCTGTGTGTAGCGCCAGGCCCTTCACACCTTGAAATGTTGATGATGTAGGTTGGGTCTGCATTGCGAGACATTGATTGGGTTGATCATTGGTATTTTAGCCTTCCGCTGCGCTATCTTGTACTATGTGAGAGAGGTCGGTTCTTGTTCTGGTTTACGGCATGCGACAGGGACAACCAAAAAACTGTCTAATAATCTCTAATTATAAAATTGGTTTGATATGTTGGACGTCTCATGCTCTCGTTGTCTGGAATAGGACAAAGACTGCTTTGATTCTGAATCTATTCATCTGGGTGGAATTGGGGCTGTTGTGGGCAAAATCTATAACACACACCCACACGCACACGCACGCACACACACACACACACACACACACACACACACACACACACAGAGGGGGAGAGAGAGAGAGAGAGAGAGAGAGAGAGAGAGAGAGAGAGAGCTATGCACACACTAGGCTTGAGCTACAGTAGCGCTGCGGTATGGCAGCGAGGTCGGGTAGACAAAGTAGGTCGTGCAGGGCAGGTAAATACGCCGTGTAGGAAGGTCTTGTAGCATGGCGTACAACAAAAACATTGAAAGACCCTTAGATCACAAAGACAAAAGACGAAGGCGGTAGCATTCAGTATTACCCTAAGGCGCATTAGGTCTGGGCTGTTGAGCTCAAGGTACCAGGCCAATGGTCTCGATCCAGGCGAGATCTTAAGATCGTAAGATTTCATGGCGATGGGACGGCCGGGCCTAACGACCTTGATCGAAAATTTGTTACATTGACACAAGGATTGGGGCCTTTGGTTTGGTAGGACGTGTACACCAAGATGCAAAATTTACTTCATTGTTCCGGCTATCCAGGCCGTGTGGAGATACGAACAACGACAGCCTGGAGCTTATGTTTGTCACATTAGCAATTTGAATAGTAGAGATATTCCCAACATTTACTAGCCAATGCTGTAAATCCAGACATGTACAATTTCAATAGCTGCTCACTGAATCCTCCTCTCTCTTCTAGTCATTAATCCAGTTTCCGGGTTCTTTTTTCATTGTGCGCAAACTTTTATTGGTCCTCGCTGAATCCATGCATCACCAAGATACTGTGTTCTTGTTCTCCTAATCATTAATCCCCTTTCCCTACTCCTCTTTGGACCATTTCTTGATTTATGCATGTCATCCTTGTGCAGGGGCCATGCTAATCTTCTCTGTATTGTTCCAATTTTAACGGATGTCCCAAAGGACAGACAGTGCCGTTTTATATGTACCGGCCTTTAGGATTCTGTACTTGCTGCAAATGCTGGACGTGTTTATGGAACCACAGAACTGGTCTGCAAGTGGGGACTGTTCACTATGGCATTCATCCTTGTCATCATCATGGATACTAGTTCATGACTGGCTGCTGCCTTCTGGGGATCTTGCACAGTCCATAGATTCCAGCATGCAAGTGTCTAGAACAGTTTGCTACTTGACAGTGCCATTTTATATGTACCAGCCTTTAGGATTATGTACTTGCTGCAAATGCTGGATGTGTTCAACATGGATCCAGGGAACTGGTCTGCAAGTTCCGACTGTTTCCTGTGGCATTCATCCTTGTTATCATCATGGATAATGGTTCATGACTGGCTGCTGCCTTCTGAGGATCTTGTACAGAGTCATTAGATTCCAGCATGGATGTGTTAATATTTGGACCTGGGGCTGGTTCTTTTAACTCCAAAGACATTCAAGCAATCTCACAAGTACCCAGTTAGGAAAAAAGTGGATTGGAGGGATAAATTGTTCTGGCCTTCCTGCCTGGTTCTGAGGTTGCTTTTGTGAGGTTCCTCACAGTTTTCTGTTAAACTTCTTTTCTTGCAGCCTGCAACAGCCCCTGCCAAGTTCTGTGATGAATGTGGCGCTGCCTATGTCCGCGAATCATCCAAGTTTTGTTCAGAGTGTGGCTTGCGAAGACCAGGTATGGATTTTCCCTATCGATGTGATATGTCCCATCCTGTAGATGTATGTGTTTGTGTTACATAACATACAAGCTTTGTGCTTCTGTTCAACTGTGGCAATTCGTCTTTTCTGTATTAGCTTCTGCTGTGTAATCGGCTGACATAGTGCATCAACTGGTTGTTGTGTGGCTATGCACATCCTTGACGGCACATGAGTTGATTATCTCCTTGCAAGTGTGGCCGTCAGCACATCATTTCTTGGGCATGTACCAGGGTTGTGCGCAGGCAGAACGCCCATGGCCGCAACATGTCGTCAAGGACAGAGTGGTTCTCGAGACTTCTCTTAGCCGTCCTATGTTTTCATCTACCCTCCACACTCCTTACTCTCTCTTAATTTCCGTTTGTCTCACTCCTTACTCTCCGTTAATTTCCGTTTGTCTTCCTTTGCTTTGCCTTCTTTCCATCTTTTCTCTCTGTGTATCCCTTCCCCCTTAACACTTCCTCTCTTTCATACCGTACAAGTGGGCTGTTAAGGCACATGGGGATGCATCGTCATCATCATCATCGTCATTCTCATCATCGCCATCGTCGTCGTCATCATCGTCTTCATCATCATCACCCTCATCATCATCATCACCGTCGTCATCGTCGTCGTCGTTGTCATCATGGTCATCGCCGTCGCGGTCGTCGTCATCGTCGTCACCATCATCATGACGTAATCCTTCGTCGGCGTCGGCGTCATCGTCGTCGCCATCATCACGATGTCATCCTCCATCATCATCATCATCCACTGTCCATATAATCACCCACCCGCCCGCTACCC